ACTGCTATTTTCATTTTCCAAACTCCATTTTTTCAATTGTTGGAATAATTTTGAAAATTTAATTTGAAATGAAGGATAAAAAAATAATTTCAACATTATCTATTTGTAAACCAAACAAGTTAATAGTCTAACTAAATAGATAGATAGCCTTTGAAATAATAAAAAAGATTATATCATGCTCATTCCATTATTTGTAACAAACGGATCCTAAGGGTTTAGATTATTGTAGATAATAGTGTAGACATTAGAAATATTTTAAAGAAGTCTAGAACAAAATAAGAAGGTGCTAGGTATTTTTACAATTTTTAGTGAAACAATGAAAAGAAAACATGTTAAGGGAGAAAAGAAAAATTTATAAATTTGAGTGAATGAATGAAGAAGAAAATAAATGTTAAAGGAGAAAAGAATTAAAGAAAAGAAAGCTTAGAGTTTTAACATGTTAGCATAGTGTGTTGTAGCCTACGGATTAGATTTTCCATTTTAAAAAAAAAAATACTTATCATATTGTAAAATATTAAATATTGTAAAATATTATATTTTTGTTTAACGTGAACAACTACGGTTACATTGTACTCGATAATGTTACTAACACATTTTAAAAGGAAATAATGTTAATAAGACATTTTAAAAGGAAAAATGTAATTAATTAATGGCCATCATTATAACTGTACTCCATAATGTTACTAACACATCTTAAAAGAAAAATAACGTTACTAAGACATTTTAAAAGAAAAAATGTTATTAATTACATTAAGACAATGGCCATCATTATAACCCACGGTTGTTAGCTACACCTTTTTTTTAAATTGTTTGGCTTGTTAAATCGTATAATTATTTTAAAATTAGTTCTTTGAGCAACGGACAAAACTGTTCTCTGTCTCCGAAAATTGAAACTTCAGAAAAGAGTTTCAAATAACACAAAAACGGAATCAACCACATAAGATCCGCCCCTAATCCGTTTCCAATCTTACCCCTTACTGGACCCCACACGCTGGGAAATATTTATTTTATTTTTGCTCACGCCAAAAACCCCATTACCCCTCAAATCCCTCTTCCCTTACCAACTTCACATTTTTCTTCCAACCCCTTCTTTGGAAAGTACGAAAACTAAAACAATGAGGGTGTGATTATATGAATTCTATTTGATTTTAACAAGTATGTGGCCCGTGCGATGCACGGGAAAGCAATATTACGATTGTATTATAAATTAAATATATAAATAACATTAATCATGATTTATCCATTGTTTTTAAATTAAACTGGGTTGAACACAGTCCGACCGAATGGACCGAGAATCGATTTATAACCCGTCTAGTTCGCTTGAATAAAATATTTGCTCTCGAATTCGTCAACACCAGTCGGTTGGACTGGTAGGATCGATACGATTTTCTAAATAAATTTTGTCATATTTAAAATTATTTTGAATAAAATTACATATTTAAATAAAATAGAGATATATAAATTATTTATCAATTAGTTTAAACATTTGAATTTATCAATTGTTTAGATATCTAAGTAACACATTTTATTTAAATTGATTACAAAAAGTACTATATATATATATATATTAAAATATTTATAAATTAAAATTTGAACAAACCACAAATGATTTATAAAATAGCTTGATCGTTTCGATAACGGTCCAGTTCTAAAAACCTTATATTTACTGTACATTAGTAAATATTATAATAAAATATTATTTAATTCACATAAATATTAATAAAATGATATATTCATAAATCATTAAACATGTTGTCATAAAAGTATTGTAAATGCGATTATATGAAGTTTGGACTACATCACATTCACGTAATATATTATTTTCAATATAAAATTTATATTTAGGTTCAATAATCGATTTGATGTGATCGAACTGATACATAACTTAGCCACCTGCGACCAACCAAGTTGTGTTAAGTTTTTTGAATATTTTAAATATCACCTAAAAGTAACTCAATCAACCTAGGCAGTACCCTAATTCAATCACCCGATTGATTCGAAGAAATTTTCCTATTTTCTTTAATTTAATTTTATGAAATAAAAATATTTTATGATTCATATAATAAATGTATACACAAAATGATAGTATATTAAAATTATAAATTATATATCTAAAGATGAATTAATTACTTTTACTTTATGTATATTAATAAATAAATAAACATAGTGATTTTCAAAAAAATAAGTTTTATTGATTGATTATGCAATTTTTTAAAGGCACAAAAATAAAGACCGAGATTCTAAAATTTTTGTTATATTTTGAATTTTTGAATTGAGGTTTTATATATATAGAGACCGAGATTTTAATGTTGTTCGTTGTTTCTAAGAAAAAATAAGAAAAACAATAAAACTTACTATTTATAGGCTGTATTAAATTCTGATCTATTTTTTTGCTACTATTTTTGGTAAATGGTAATTCTTATTATATATATATAGATTGAATTGTTTTGTTAATTATAGTTCGTTTTGTAAAAAATAATACCATTTTTTTAATAAGTGTCGTTAAGAAATTGCACAATAATTAATAATCTTTTTGTCATAATAACCCTTATTAATGAGGATAGGGATGGATGTTTTGAGAAAAGATGAATAATGAATATGAAAAGATATAGTGTATTTATTAGTTAGATGGGGTAATAATGAAAAAATATGTACAAAAGATCCAAAACATTATTTATTTGGTTAATTGTTGATAAAACCAAAATGACATTTAAAAAAATAGGAGGTAGTATGATTAGTTGTTAGTGAATTTTGAGTTTATGTTAAAATAATATTCTAGATAAAATAATTAAAATTGATTTGATGCAAAAGTAGAAGAGATAATGTGATGCGATAATTAGTTAAAATTATGTGTGAGTAGATGAATAATGAATTAAAATTGATGTAATGTGTAAGAATAATGGATTAATATTAATTAATTATATTGACGATAATGAGATTTAGTTAAAGTGAAGTTAAAAAATAATTAAGTTAAATGATTGGTTATTTCCCATCAAATTCATATCCAATCACACCCTCATGACATATTTCATAATAAACAAAATGCTATTTTTAGATTGAGTAAACATTTAATTTCGTCAGAAATACATATTTATCATATTTTGTTGTAATTTTATTTATATCATATTTAAAATATGATATTTGAGTGTGGAGGTATGTAAAAGAGGCATCGGTTGCCTAACCTAAAGACATCATAACATAATTATCTATAATCCATACTATTAGAAATCTCCTATGGTCTTTCCATTACTTTACTTTATTGTCATATGACATAAAAAATCTGACGTCACATGGAAACCTTTATAGATGTAGAAGTCCTTCTAGACAACTTCTATTATATATTATATTATTTATTCAATTTATCTCTCTTCGCCAACCAATTACAATTTTACACATCACAAATGACACCACAATGAACACTAACTATTGGAGACAATATTTTTTAATTCCCTTTCTCCATGTCATACAACACAATCTTCATTGGAGATACTCTAATTAGAGCACCCACAATGTTTTGGCAAATAAATAGACTTAAGTCTATAGTGACATGGACAAACACAAGCTAAAAAGTCCAACATTTATCCAATGCAAAAAAAAGTATTAGGTCTAGAATACCTAACAACCAATAAAATATAATAATAGTAAATGATTGCTATTGTAAAGTTCACACTTGGGTCCAAAATAGACCCAAGAGTGGACTTGGTCTTTTTTTTCTTTTTTGCCACATAAGCTAGACTAGGTCCACTTTTAATAATTTTGTGAAACATTTTTTTATAGATTAAGTTTATTTCTTACATCGAATATGATTTTTTTTTTAAAGATACCCAAAACATTGTGAGTGCTCTAATTTAGTACACATCTTTATTTAAAATTTTATTAACGGATCAACCATCTTACTTTGGCCTCACAACAGAAAACACACACGACACACATCCCCCATTTTTCTTCCTTTAAATTCACAGACACACACACACGGAAGCTTCATCTCATTTTCTTCACACAACACACTGAACACAGTAGTAGAAACAGCAGCCATGCAAGGGAAAATCACTTCCGTTCTTCCTCTGCTCACTTATCTCTGTGCGCTGACCGCCCTCCACCAAACCCGCCGCTCTCTGGCTCTGACCCAGGACGGCCTCGTCCTCCGGGAGGTCAGGCGCTCCCTCTCTGACCCGAACGGCGTCCTCGCCGGCTGGTCCGCCGCCGCCGCCGTCCCCTGCAGCTGGTTCGGGGTAGGCTGCGATGGCCTCGGCCGTGTGGTGTCGGTCTCTCTCCCCGGCGCATCCCTCGCCGGGCCCTTCCCACTCGCCCTCTGCCGCCTGCCCTCTCTCTCCAACCTCTCCCTCGCCGACAACTACATCAACGGCTCTCTTTCCCTCTCAATNGTTTTCTTTTTTTTGTTTTATTTTTTATTTTTTTAATTCGTGGGCCTTTGGGAACTAGGAAAGTTCGAGAACGAATGAGGGATTTTACCAGTGGCTTATTTCTGTTTGTCTAAAGTGGCCAGTCATGAAATATCCATTTGTGGGTTCTTTGCTGTGGTTCTGCTGTGTTTGCTTATGGAGCAGTGCATTATTTAGTGCCACTAATGGGGAGACCAATCTTTTTTTACATCATTTATGACGACCTTTCACTCAAGTGAACAAAGCAGATAATATACCTTGGCATTTATTTTATTTTATTTTTTACGAAAAAAAGGACTAATCTTTCTTGCATCAATTGCTCCCAATCGATTCAAATTAGACGATAAAAGAGCTTTTACTCAGTTAAATACCAATGGTGGTGGTAAATAGGTGCTCTGTTATTGTTCTGCATTTCACAACTGATGAGGCCGAGTCAAAATTTGTTCCAGGTACCTTAATCTACTGGCAAACAACTTCTGTGGCGATATCCCAGCATCATTTGCTCGGTTTGAACGACTCGAATCTCTCATACTCATCGACAACCTTCTGAACAGCACCATCCCAGCAGCCCTCGGCAACATCACAACACTAAAGGATCTACAGCTGGCTTACAACCCATTCTCCCCGGGCCCCATACCCGACGACCTCGGCAACCTGACCAACCTGGAAAACCTGTGGCTCACCTCCTGCCAGCTCGTGGGCCCCATCCCATCGACCCTTGCCCGGTTGACTCAGCTTCGGAATCTCGACTTAGCCGTAAACAGGCTCACCGGGCCCATACCTGGCAAGATAATAACAGGCATGACGCAAATCGAGCAGATTGAACTGTTCAATAACTCGTTCACCGGAAGTTTGCCGATTGGTTGGTCTAATCTGACCATGTTGAGAAGATTCGATGCATCCATGAATGAGTTAACCGGACTTATACCGGACGAGCTGTGCGAGTTGCCACTCGAGTCACTCATCTTGAACGATAACCGACTCGAAGGGATAATTCCCGATAGCATCGCCAGCTCGCCTAATTTGAACGACCTCAATCTGTTCAAAAACAGGCTGACGGGTAATTTGCCGAGTGATCTCGGCAAGAATTCGCCCCTGCAGGTGCTGGACGTGTCGTCGAATAATCTCTCGGGTGAAATTCCCGAATTTTTGTGCATGAATGGGGCCTTGGAGAATTTAATTCTGATGGTTAATGCTTTCTCTGGGAATATTCCGGAAAGTCTCGGAAAATGCCGGAGTTTGCTGCGCGTACGGTTGAGGGACAACAGGCTACAGGGGGAAGTTCCGACTCAGTTCTGGGGACTGCCACGGGTTTATTTTCTCGAGTTATCGGGAAATGCCTTTTCTGGGAATATCCCGAGCTCGATACGCGGCGCGAAAAACTTATCCATCCTGGCGATTTCGAATAACAGATTCTCAGGTAGCATTCCGAGCGAAATCGAGTTATTAGATTCTTTGATAAACTTTGCGGCGGATGGTAACTCGCTTAGTGGTGAAATCCCGAGCAGCATTTTGAATTTAAGGCAGCTCGGGAGGCTCGATCTTAGCAGTAACAATTTTTCAGGTGGGATTCCTAGAGGAATTCAGTCTCTGAAGCTGCTCAACGAGCTCGATTTGGCTAATAATCACTTGTCGGGCCGTATACCAGACGAGCTCGGGGGCCTTCCAGTGCTCAACGACCTCGATCTTTCAAATAACAACTTTTCGGGTGAAATTCCTGTCTCGTTACAGAATCTGAAGCTCAACAAACTAAACTTGTCGAGAAATATGCTTTCAGGGGACGTGCCTCCTCTCTTCTCGAATGGAGCTTATCGGGACAGCTTTCTCGAAAATCCTGGGCTGTGTTTTCATAATTCCGACTCATGCAATCGCAAAGAGGAGAAAGCGAATCGGGTTTTTTCGTGGGTGCTGAGGTCCGTTTTCATCACAATGGGCCTCGTTTTCCTTGTCGGGATCGTTTGGTTTCTGCTGAGGTACAGGAAACTGAAGCAAACGGCCGAAGGAGTAGTTGCCATAACTAAGTGGACCTCTTTCCACAAGCTCGGTTTTAGCGAGCTCGAAATTAGCAGCGGCCTCGAGGAGACGAACGTGATTGGCCGAGGAGCCTCGGGTAAAGTCTACAAAGTCGTTCTGAGCAGTGGGGAGGCCGTCGCCGTGAAAAAACTGCACGGCACGTCGAAAAATGATGAAAACGACCCTACTGGTGAGTTTGAAGTTGAAGTAGACACATTGGGGAAAATCAGACACAAGAATATCGTGAAGTTATGGTGCTGTTGCGATGCGGGAGGTAGCAAGCTCTTGGTGTACGAGTACATGCCGAACGGGAGCTTAAGAGACTTGCTGCACGGCAACAAGAGTGGGCTTTTGGATTGGCCCACGAGGTTTAGTATAGTTTTGGGTGCTGCCGAGGGGCTCTCGTATTTGCACCACGATTGTGATCCGCCAATCGTGCATAGGGACGTGAAGTCGAATAATCTGCTACTTGACGAGGAGTTTGGGGCAAAAATCTCGGATTTTGGGGTTGCTAAGGTTGTTAAGGAAAGCGAAAATGGTGTCGAGCCGATGTCTGTAATTGCCGGTTCTTGTGGTTACATTGCACCAGGTGAGATATTTTGAAAGGTTCAATCTTTTTCACCCATTATTATACAAATTTTCGAGCTAACATATGTTTTTTGATAAATTTATATACAGAATATGCATACACGATGCACGTGAACGAAAAGAGTGACATATACAGCTTTGGGATAGTCATTCTGGAGCTCGTGACAAGAAAAGTGCCGACTGACCCAGTATTTGGGGACCAAGGTTTGGCAAGTTGGGTCTATACGACCTTGGGCAGGGATGGGCTTGATCGTGTTATCGACCCAGAATTAGATTTGAGATTCAACCAACACATTTGCAAGGTTCTTGAAATTGGGCTCATCTGTGTCAGTCAATACCCGACCAGTCGCCCCTCCATGCGTCGGGTTGTTGCTATGCTGTATGAATCGGGTGCTGGCATGTCTAATAATAGTGTAAAGGAGAAGGATAACTGTAAACTTTTGCCTTGGTAAGTCAACATAGAAGCATGGGGTTAGAGACTGCAACATTGTAACTTATATGACATCTATATTGATGAAATTATTTTTAGATTACAATTTTTGTTCACCATAATTTGTTTTCGACAACATCTACCGACCATAAAGATCGACGTTAGATGAAAATCAGTTCATGCGGAGGATTTTTTTTTCCTTATTTTTCTTCAAACTATGAATACTTCGTTGTCAATGGCTTCCAATTAGCAAAATGAAGATCACCGAAAGTGATTGGCATTAGAAAAGGGTGTTGAAAATGAACAGCAACAAATCTGTTACAGAACAAAAAATGTGAACTGAATGCTCAACCTCAGACTTTCCAATCCTTTTAAACAAGTGCTCTAGCAAGTTTGTAAAGTTATTCAGATGTTGCTGTTGGCATCTCAACATCAAACTATTGTTTATTGGTGCCTTAAATGTTTCATCTTCAGTTGCCGACCCTCAATTAGTGAAACGGGACCCTAAGACACCGGCCAATACCTATCAAATCAAGACCAGGAATTTGATCTTTTAACACCCAACTAAGAAAAATTAATGATGCGAGACAATCGGGACCATAAAATCTCTGAGGCCTGAAGATCTTTTTTATGTCCCTTTTTTCAGTTCAAGCGTTCAACTGTCAGTTCTATTCAATGTAATTATGTAATCAGGTATCTGTCTACTTTATACAGTAATTGTGAGACTATATGTTATATCAATAAGTTGGAGGTAATTACCTACCACGTAGGGAGTTCAAAGTTTCTGCACATTGTCATTTAGGTATACTGAAAATCATATCTGAAACTTGAATGTAATTCAAAAGGCACGATCAAAAAGCATGACAACTTCTCATTTCACTATCATCTCTCTTTCAATTGAACAAGTCCCCTCCAGTGACAGTAAGAACCAAGGAAAAAAAGAAGTAATTAACGAATGCAATTACCAATCCAAAACCCCGAGTCTCAATCCCAAGGAGAATTAAACACACATGTATAGCTACATACAGTTAACAAGACACATAAATATTTCCTTGATCCACGGTGGTAATTTAAACTCTCATCACTCCCTTAATTAGCTTGATATTATATAATGTGGTTTATGAATTGGGTATTTTAAGGCAGTAAAGGCATCCACATGTTCTACACGAACCCAAACGCAGTGTTGTTCACTTAGTTTCTATTCACTTCATTCAATTGTCTTGTACAGGTAAATGCAGGATATTGTTTATTTACAGGCAAATACGATTAAAGGAAACACACAACAAGTCATGCTAGATATGCTGTTACATCGAATTAGCATGAAAGAGTTTACGTGCTCGGCATAAAACGAACATGGAGATGACAAATATTAACTTCGATATTTTCCCTGTGTATGGTAACCTTACTATCTATCTGAAAGATATTTGCAGCTCAAGTAACTAACAAGTTTGAGGCTTTAACCTTATGACAGTATAAATAACATCATTCAAGACACTTCTGATGGTACTCAAAATAAGAGACAATATACAAACACGGAATTTCAAAATTCAGTTTCATTTTTCTTCCTAGTTGTTTCCAGAGTTACAAATTTTTTCAGCAGCCTTACCCAAAACAACAAATTGATGAGCAAAAACCTCGTAAAAATCAAGCCACAACCTGGAAAGATATCACATTTGGGTATTGCTAATACAATAGTATCATCATCAATGTTCTTGTACTAGTAAGGAAAAAGAAATCTCACCCAAAGTTTCGATTTTTATCAACTCTGCTCCCTTTTCTTCTTCCTGAAAACATAAACATCGGTTTCCTCGTACGCGTACTCGGGATGCAAATGCTCGTGCGGGATTTTTTCGACATCGAACACGCCCACGGACATTTCCCAGAACAGCTCGTGGGCCTCCGGCGACCTCAGCTGGTACCCGAGCAATACGACACCGTCGTCTGCCACCAGCGCCTCCATCGCCCTGATCAGTGGCGCCACTGTCTCCTCCAGATAAACCACGTCCGCCGCGATCACGAAATCGAACGGAGGCTTGAGCGACCGCGCCTGCTCCTCGTTCCCCCAGTACAGCTGCGCGGTCTTTAGGGTTTTCTTGAGCGCCGGCTTGTTGCGCTTCAGGTTGTGCTTCAGAGCAGGCATGACGGGGGCTATGTCGGTAAGGACGATGTCGTGGAGGCCGAGCACGTAGAGACTCATGGCGGAGGCCCCACAGCCGGCACCGAGCTCAACCCCGCGCTTGCCAGCGAAGTTCAGGAGGCCGGCGTAGGGGTTGTCGCCGTCGGCGCATTTGAAGGGGTTCCAGCGCTCGGCGAACTTGGCAAGGACCAAGGAGCAGGGCCAGACGGAGGTGCCGACGTGCATCGAGCCATTGTCCTGCTGGATTGAGAGGCGCGTGTCGAGCACGGACAGCTCGATCACCGGCGAGTCTGTGAATTTCATATTTTCTTATTTTTACTTGGTCTGCAGAATGTCGAAACTCCAATATTGAGTTTTCAAATGGGCTGGACTCATAGGCTGAGTTAGCCCAGGCCCAATGATAATTAATGGTATACAACCAGAACTTGAACTTTTTTTTTTTTTGTACAATGAGAGGAGGCAAAAGCCTAGGACCCTCAGGTAATTATGTTCCGCGAATAAGTGATGCCAATGAGATCATGCTGTATCCACGGTTTAACTACCGATGGTGGGTCTAAGAAACGTTGGCAACCACTAGCTAGGGTATTGATGTGCTATAGTCGCCAAACAGTTAGCTGCGAAGTTAGCTTCTCTATAACAATGGGTCACTCTAGCAAATGAGCGAACCTGCCCAAGTGTTTATCGACCGAGGTGACTAGTTTGAACCCTCGAACAAATGAGCGAACCTCTCGAATTTTATTAGCCACAACGAACTCCTTTTCTGAAAAAATCTTTTCATTTCTTCTCCTCCAGATCTGCCACACTGTGACACCAAAAATAATTTCCCAGTCGACGACTCCAATGGACAGCCCATTTTGCAGGTTTTGGATCAACCAGTCCTGTAGATGCATGTGAAAGAACTTAAAATGATGTTTGGAAGGGATCAAGCGTTGCCAAACCTGCTTTGCACTCACACAATCCCGTAGACAGTGTAGGGTTGATTCGTCATGTGGCTCACAAAGGATACACTTAGACGACCCAGTGAGGTGACGTCGTCGCCTTTCAACATTAGTTAGGAGCCTTTCTTGAGCTGCAAGCCAGAGAAATTGGCGAACCCTCTATGGTGCAATAATACAATTTTAGTTATTTTGAATATAATTCAATTGAACCGACCTACTGTTGAAAAACAAATTTGTTTTGTTACAAATCAAATGTTCAATCTTTCAACAAGGGCACAAATGCACGAGTCGATTGACAAATATATAGATTGATATTTGAAAAAATATTTGTATATGTTGATACAAAACATAACTCCCTATATAATTTTTACTATGATCATAGCTCTTAGTTTAGATAATCATGATGATATAGCCAGCTAATCAGCTCGGTTGCAAGTGTGGATTATCTGCTTGATAGTGAGCTTAGCGGATCGGTCAGAAGGGTGTTGGCTAATGGAACAATCTACTTCGATGTCGAGGAGAATGATAGTTGCATTGGAGCTATCTAGTTCGAGCTAAAATTTTTGAATGAACTAACCATACTTGAACTAGTAGTAAGTGGTTGTATGTTAGGTCGGTTAAATTGGAAAAGATATCGAAATTATGTATTTGAGAAGACTCCTAAGAAAGAAAGAAGTTATTAGGTGGCGATTGGAAATGTATTTTTTTTTAATTATTATTGAATTTGATTTATTGAATAAAGTATGTTAAGATTGAAAAAAAATTGATGATGCAAAATTTTGAATTTAATTTTGATTTTATGAGTAGACATGAGTTAAAGTGTAATGATTGGAACTAATATGACGTAAAAGTAGTAAATTAATAATTTGAATGAGTGATTTTTAAAAATATATGAGTAGATGAATAATGAATTTTGTTGTAAAATGTGCAGTGATGATTGGTTGATATTATTAATTATATTGATAAATATTAAGAAGAGTTAAGTTGTAGTATTAGATGAATAATTGAATTTTGAATTAAAAATTTAGATTCAATAGTTTAAAAAAAAAAAATTCACCGAAGTCAAAACAAAAAGTTACTTTCAGAATAGGAAAATAGTAAAAACAAAACTAAATATAGTTGCATTAATAAATTTGGATAGGTTAAAATAAAGTTTCTGCAATTTGTTAGAACAAGGATAGCCAGAGTAGCTAGGCTTTCCCAAACCAGATAAACCCTTTCTTTTTCTTTCCTTACACAAAGACGATATCTTTTCTGAATTTCAGTTTTGGAAGATAACAACTAGCTAGGAGCACAATGTAAAACACTAGCAATAATGGAGTCCAAAAGGCCCCTTTTCCTTGCCCCCACCACCAAAACCCCAACTTTTCATCATAATAATAGTAATAAAAATAAAATAAAATAAAAAATCACCATTTTTAATACCAAAGGGAACATATTTCATTAATGGGCTTCACCAGAATATGCATGAATCTTATCTCCCACATTACAACTATATTTGTCAAAATAATCTAACCACCTTTTTTCCACCTCTCAATTGCCACCTTTTTCTTTCCCAAATACTAAAATTCCCATCCTCTTTTTCTTTATCCCCGCAACTTTATTTCCATCTTCCCTTTTTATCATCTTTCTTGATCACACAACTGTTTTTTTTTTCTTTCTTTTTTCCCCTTTATTTCGACGTAATCGAACTCATCACATCCACCCGTTGATCGACGGTGGATGGCACATCGACCGTATCCCAACTCCAAGAAAGTCCCTCGTTTCGCCACCTGTCAACATCTCCTTATCACTGCTGTTCCCCAGCCGACGGCGCTTGGACATCCGGCCAAGGGCAGAATGGTCATTTACCGAACCCTCCACGTCGCTTGCAAGCCCACTCGTGCCCGAGTTGGAGCTGTAAACCCCACAGAACTTATTCCCATCAGACGATGAAATTTCGCCAACTTGAGCGGCTTTTTGCAGTAAGGCTGTCGCGGATATAATGCTTGCAATCGGCTTTTGGTGATGTATTTGGTTTTGATCAGTACTGTACAAACATGGGACACTAAGTTCTTTCTCATTGGTTATGAGAGGGATATTTAAAGGGCAATTGATAGAATTGTTACCAAACTGATCCCAATTGATAGAATTGTTAACTGGATTACTATTACTATGAGTAGTGGTGGCAAAGTTGTTGAGTGGAGTGGAGTTTATGGGGATTAATAATCCCATTGGATTAATAATATCTTGGACATTTTTGGACATGGGTTCTTGGGCTAGCCATAGGGGTAGGCTTCGTCCAGTGGGGATTATTGGGTCGATGTTTGGGCCGGTTATGGGCTGATCAGCTAGAGATGGGCCCACGAGAAATTGGTGGCTGAGGATAGGTGGATGATTATAGTGGGTATTGTTGTTCATATGTGATGAGGCTGTGAATCGTGCTGTCTCCTCGGCTAAGGCGTCACAGAATGCTCGATGAGTGATGAAGCTGTCTCTCCTGTTCGGAATAGAAGTTGAAGGGCGAAATCGTAAATCGACATGTGTATAAAATAAACAGATAGATGAAATGATTATGATGATGATCATGAGAGTTAGAAGCAGTTCTGTGATGAGAAGCAATTGGTTAGTGTTATCTGATGATGAGTTTTGTTCATTTGGAGGTTGAATATTATTTTTTGGGGTACAGAGGTTGAATATTTTAACTTATAAAATGGGGCAAAATTATAAGAATAATATATAACTGGCCTAGGGAATAATTCAACCAAATACACAAACGTAACACATGATAACAATAACAATAACCATAACACAAGAACAAACAAAACAACAAGCAAACACAAATTCACAAGATAAAGAGTAAGTGTTTGGTAAAATTAGTTGATAAAATAAAATTTTCAACAAATTTACTTAAAAAACTATCTAAATAAGCTTATGATACAAACTCGAGCATTTTAAAAAAGTAAACGAAACTTATTCGAATGCAGTAAGCTTATATAAATTAACCAAATAAGCTATAAGCTAGTTTATTTGATTACTAAACCCACTGAATAATTTCCATACCTGGAGTAGATGGTCCCACAATCACACCTGTACTCGCGGGTCCCACACGTCTTGGAGTGCGCTTTCCAGTCGGAACTCACCGCGTAGCGCTTGGAGCACTTGTCGCACTTCCACTTCTTCTCCCCGTGCTTCCGGCAATAATGCTTCTTGATTCCGGTCAAGTCTCCGAGCGCCCTCGACGCGTGGTGGTGAACGCACGTTTTCTCCGGGCAAACGTAAACGCGCTTCCGAACCTCTTTTCCCGTCCGCTGCTTCAGCTTCCACGGCAGGTTGTGGCCTCGCCGGTGAAGCTGAAGGTTCTGATCCCTTTGGAAGCCCTTACCGCATATCTCGCAAAGGAATCGGTTTGTTGCCATTAGGGTTTTCGGGGAAAGGGCTATTACTTCAGCTTCAGGATCNGATGAAATAAATTTGCATTTGAAAGAAAAAAAAAAAAAGAAGAAGAAGAACCTGGGGTGCCTGGAAGGTTTCTTTTCTTTTTGACTGGAGGAAGATTGGATTCAATATTGAAGCTGCCGGGATTTAGGTGAGATGATGAGCCGATTGAGATCATTTCGTTTGCCATTTATAGTTATTGAATTTTAATTTGCAAGATGAGAGATGTAAGGAGAAGATATATATATATAAGCTAAAAAAAGATGTCTTTTGCTATATAAGATGTCAAAGCTCAAACAATTAGCACTATATAGGTAGTTGATTTTGATGCAGAAATTAAAGGAGAAGAGCTAAAAGATGACTTTCCTCTTTCTCTTTCTCTCTCATCAAAGGCAGTGATGGAATGGAAGAATGAAATGAAGAGAATGAAGGGCTGAGTAAGGTTTTCATCCTACTTAAGTAATGCAACTTGTCCTTATTTCTTTTATCTTTTTTCATTTTTTTTTTCATGAGTTGTGACTTTGGGAGGGGATTTCAGAGAGAGAGAGGAAGAGATAAATAAATGTTTGAAAGAAAATCAAACCCTTTTAAGATTTATAAATTCTAGTAAGACATTTCTGGATAAGAGTGAACAATATCACTTAAAACCTGTCGCATACGTAATATAGTGCCCAGGGCCAACTTAGTTGTATTTAGAGATGTTAAACAGAATGAGCTGCTGTTCGTGGGCTTTGTTCAGCTCTATTCACTTGATAAACGAGTTGAGTTTGAGCTCATTGAGTTAATGTGTCGAGCTCGGCTTGTTAGACTCGAAAATTGAGGCTTTAGTTTAGTTTCATAACTCTGATGTCTCAGTTCGTTAAAACTTGAGTTCGACTATATATCTTTTATAAATGAGCTGAGTCGAGGTTTGATGGAGTTCGTTTAGTTAACGAGAGTTCGAGTTCGAGTTCGACTTGGCTAAACTTACAATTTTTAAATATGGGACACATCTACCTGATATATATGTAATATTGTCCCGAGAAAAGTTTTGCAGGTTTAAAATTTTTTCACTTTTTATTTTTTTATG